GCGAATTTTCCCAAGGTTTTTTTGGCTTTTCCTCCAGACCACCCTGAGGCATATTTAATGAACAGTCCCTAAGTCACTTGTAACGTTTCTTTTTGTTTTGTTTGGTGCATAGGGATATTTTTCTGGGCCATTATGGCTTTTCTTCTACTGATCGCGTTCTTAGGATTGCTGATCTATTGCTGCATTATAAGAAGAAGGTAAGTTTATGCATTTTAAATCATTAAACTGCCTATGTTTTTTTACAGCCTCTTCAATAGGCAATGTGCAGCGACGTTATTTTGTGCAGCAAAGCATGATGGTAGTTCTAGTCCTTGTGCCYTTTCATGTCCGATAAAACAACCCCTCTGAATTTATTTGGCTTTGTCTAAGCCGAAATAGTTGTTTTGCCGTTTCTACAAATAAAGCGTGAAAAAGGCTTTTAAGGAAATATTTTAGGGTCTATAATAAGTGTGAGGACTACAACTACCATCATGCTTTCCTGCACAAAATGGCGACGCTRCACATTGCCTAATTTGCATTGATCAGTTACATGTATTCTAACATATTCTGCTATAAATAGAGATTAAAGATCAAGCAATCAATTGCTCACGTTTCCTTTTCTTTGTTCACCAAAGGATTACCTAACTCATTTGCTTTATAAAGTCCTTTTTGTTTATTTATAACTTTATAAACATATTTGTGCGTATTTTTTTATCAGTTACCATTTGAAAAGGATTTATATTTAGGTTAAACGCCGGCGAAAGGCTAGTTGGTTAGCAAGGCATCGGCCGACATCCATTTGCTCCTTTTCATTCACTCATTCCTACAATTCTCATTCAGAACCTACYCCAAAGAAAAGGTGATAAAGGAGAAATCCGTCAAGGCACCCAYTGAGAGAARGCCCGGCAGCTACGTRAAYGACGCCTACGACATGACCGTCATGACAAACAAGACGAGCGTGCGCAGTACTCCACAAGAAGTCGAAGATCCTGTAAGTACACACGAATCTTTTGTTTGCATTTAGTTTCATCCTCATAAACTTTTCATGTTTTAACCTAAGCTAATACAAAATTATCATTGAATATTGTTAAAACATTATAAGCTTTAATTTTCTTGGAAACTGGAGATTCTCAAGAGAATATCTCTCAAAGCTGCTTTTTTGTCATGCAGGGAGATGAAATCCAAGAGGTTACTGCTGAATTCACAGCTGATGAACAAGAAAATCAAAAAGGAATCGTCGGCTTTAGTGTGACTGATGACACTAAGAACGAATCAGACGAGGAAACTACTGCAAATGGAGATGTCAACTGGGATGAATACAAGGAAAGAGCAATGTCCAAAAGATCGCATCATGCTTATGAAAACGTAGACTTGAAAAACAACCCCTAGAGGCCATTTTAATRCAGCTAAGACTGCCTAGACATTATTGTTTAATGTACATGTATTAGATACTCCAAAAAGGATTGTTGGAGAGAGTGGAAAGCACTTAAACTGTCTGTGAACTTTGTTGCTAATATTCATCACAAAGGCAGACAATATTGTGGTACTAGATTATAAATTTCTTTGCCATCTTTCGTATTATAAGTATTTATCAATCAATACCTTGCAAGGGGTACTTTTGCTCGTATATTGTCTGCAACAACCTTGTTTTGAAATAAGTCTAAATAGATCGATCTCTCATTCATTGCTTAACAATATACACAAAATTTGAAGCCTAAAACGCCTACAATAGAATGTTTTGCCTCGGGCAATAAAGTCATTACATAAAATTCTATGTCTTCATCAAATTTATGTTGATAGTAGCTACAATGTCGCAAACTAGGTTTAGCAGGCTAAGTCTGGTAAACTTAAACAGGCTTGTTATTTCACGCGGCATGTGCACTTTCTACTCTACAATTCCAGCACTTTTGGGTTTAGCTATACCGACCTGCAAGGAATCACAGTAGATAAAATGGCTACTCGTTTTCAATGAAAAACCACTCTTAATAATCTTAACAGATATTTCGCAATTGACTGCATTAAACAGTGAATTAAAACAAATTTGTACAATTTTTAAGTTCAGTTTTCGTGGTTGCCTTTATAGTTCAATGTTTTGACACTCAAGTATGGCAAGTCTCCTGCACGCATAACAAATACCTCTCATCTTTTCCCTTGTCTCTTTGGTTTACCCTTTCAATGACAATTTCCAGGAGGGACCAAAAGCTTGCACTGTCCTTCCTAGTGTCCCTGAAGACCACATTCTAAAACATTCGTCCTTCCTGCTTCATAACTGATTCATAACTCGGCGGCGGTGGCATCTCGTCTTCTAAAGCTCCTTTTTCGCTACTGTTGCTTGCTTCTGAAGGGTTGTGCGGTGGGTAGGGTGTAGGAGGAAAGGTACCAGGATGCTGCACCAGGATGTTGCTTGCTTCTGAAGGGTTGTGTGGTGGGTAGGGTGTAGGAGGAAAGGTGCCAGGATGCGGTACCAGGATGTTGCTTGCTTCTGAAGGGTTGTGCGGTGGGTACAATTGCGGAGGACGGGTACCAGGATGCGCGTAGAAGTCAGGAACGGGTGGCTGTTTAAAGTCATCCCTTAGTACGGAATTTATAGAAGGCAAGTTACTTGCCGCAGCGGCCAATTCTGAACTAGGTGGTGGAGCCGATGGCTGAAGGCGTTCCCAGTCTTCCGGCCCGTGCAAAAACCACCATGCGTTAGGATTATGTTCGTAGCTTTTTCCTTGATCATATTCTATGCAATCACCAATAATATCGGCAGCTAGCACAAGAGCGTATCCTTTCTCAGAAAACCTCTTTAAGATATGACACATGATTCCATGGGCATAATAAGCATCTAAGCTAGTGCCATCCCAAGGATTACCATCTAAGCCAAACACTTGATAGGTGATGATATTCCCAACTTCAGCACAGTGTTTCAGTGGCTTGTGCCAATGAGATTTGAGGATATGTGTACAGTCGTTGACGATATCCCTYGGGGCATTGAACAATGAAAGACGACTTCCTTCTATAGGACTTAGACAGAAGGCTTTACAATTGGCCAGATATGTACCGCGTTGGAAAAGTAGCTCACTTTTGTACGASAGACCTCGTGACATATCAAAGCCAGTAAGGATCTTCCATCCATGTGCTCTCATGGTCTCTAGCAGCTTGCAGACGAAGAACTTAATAAAACAGGACTTTGGAATGTCTGAGTCGGATTTCATTGGGAACTTGAACTTGTACTCAATTTTATGTGACACATGCTCGATCTTTCGTTCGATTTTGACACCTCTACTCTGGAAAGTGTTGTTGACGAGCTGATGCAATGTTTCAGCAAGTTCGTCCGTGGCATTGTAGATTTGGATCTTTTTGGTTTTTCTCAAGGTGACGATTACWAAGTCGGAGTCCTTGATGTTTTCAGTTGTTGTTTTTGGACAAAACAGAAACGTATCTTCTGTTCGCTTAATATTCATGGTACAAACAAATTGGTGTTTGCAGAGTACAATTGACAACAGTTTGATTAACAAGTACCTTGCCTCGGCATGCTTGTACGACTTTCCACCCCAGGGACAACCACCAAGGACAAGCTCATAGGTATTCGGCTTGTATTCCAGTAATTCACCACGATGGCTTCCTGGTGGATACATTTTGGATGCCTCGAGGGCTTCTTCAAACGTTCCTGGTAATAGGTTACAAAATTGAAGCTTATCGTTGGAGCTGAGAGACATATAGCCCAAATGATTCATCTCCATCGGCCTTTGCTTTATGAAAATAAAGGTGAACAAGTCACGAGCATAGGTAAGATTGGTCGATACCAGATGATGCCAACCTCGTTCTTGCAGATGATGAAGAATTTCACAAACAACATCTCTGCTATTTTGACTCAGAAGTCCTGTCTCAAAAGGAAGGCCTTTCAATTTGAAGCTTAACACACTTTTACCACATTTAAGTTTTACTATCTGGATTCCTTCCTTCCAGGTTTTCAAGATGGCTGTCCGGATGAGTGTATATTCCTGGTCAGTAGCATTGATGACTTGGATTTTGTCTGGTATTTTGATGATTAAGCACAAGCAATGAGGATCGATTTGGACTGGTGGCAGGTTTGTAGACTCCTCTGCACCCATGATTAAGGTCTAACTGGTTTCCTACAAAATATTTCATGTYTCAATACAAACATTCTGATATAGTGCGATGATGCGATTTCGCATAATCACCTAAAAATCGTATTTTTCCGCATAATAGATAAAAATCGCATAATTAGTCAAAAATTGCATAGTTTTTGAAAAAAAAAACATGTTTCCCATTAAAAATAAATTAAGTTCTGTCTATTTCATTTTAGAATTTATCAATATAAACCTTTTTTGAGTCGAAAATATTTGAAAAACCATTCAATATTCGATCAAAAATGATTTCGTCATTTATCTACAAGGCGTTACTTGCTCGACAGCAGAGTCTGGGAACTRGTGCTAGTTTTATGGCGGAGCTGTCGGYGGAGCTCCTTTTCTTTTCTTCCAAAGATTTCTTAGCATCGTGATTGATTTAATGGATTATGCGTATAATCTTTTCGCAATATTTCTTCTGAATATTTTAATAAAAGTTAAAAGAGATAGAAAGAAAAAAAAGATGTGTCCAGAAGCTGCTCAAGTCGAGAATCAAACCCGCGATCTTCAGACGCCGCTATTCGAGTATGTGATACGGCTGCGTTCATAATGTATACCGCAGGAGTGGTCAGGTGAAATTTTTAGTTTCCCC